TCTCTGGATCCTCTGTATGTCCTCCTTGGAGAATTGACTGTTCAAGTTGGTTCTCTTCTTTGTATCAGTGATTCTCAACAGGGAAGGGGAGTGATTTGCCCTCAAGAGACATTTGACAATATCTGGGGATAGTTTAGGTTGTTATAACTGTATATATGGGTGGGGAGGGGTGGTATGACCTACATCCAGTGGGTAGAGACCAGGGATGCTGCCTAACATCCTACAATGCATAGAACAGCCCCGACAACAGAATATTTTGGCTCCAAATGGCCATAGTGTCAAGGCTGTGAAACTCTGATCTTAATACTAAGTTCCTGGTGATCAAATCTAATTTCTGGCTTTAAACACAGTTGATATGCAGATGATTTTCAAATTCGTGTTTCCAGTTCAGACCTTTTGCTCCCATCTCAGACTTGTATATCTAGCCTACCTACACTGCATCCCCACTTGGATGTTGACTACATTTTGAAATGTGTAGTCGACATTTCAAAATGCTCCTCTTGCAGTCTTTTCCATCTCAGGGAGTAGCAGCTATCCTTCTAGTTCCTCAGACCAGAAACCATGGTGATTATTTCTGTCACACACTATATCCAGTCCATAAGGAAATCCTGTTGGCTCTGCCTTTAAGATATATTCAAAATCCAACCACTTCTTGCCCATCTCCATTGCTATCAGATGGGTATAAGCTACCTTTACCTCTCACCTGAATTACTGCAGGAGCCTCCTCAGTGGTCTCTTTACAACCTTGCAGTCTGTGGTCAACACAGCAACCAGAGTATTTCTTTTAAAAAAAAAGGTGAGATTATATCAGTTCTTTGCTCAAAACCATCCAGGGGATCCCCATTTTACTCCATGTTAGAGCCGGAGTACTTATAGTGGCCTCCACAGATCTACATGATAGGAACCATCATTCTCTCTCTGACCTCATTTCCTACTGCTCTTATACTTGCATATTACATTTTAGCCATAGTTGCTTTCTTGTTGTTTTCAAACATTTCAGATGCATGCCTTAGGCCCTGGCTATTCTTCCTACCTGGAACTTCTCTAGGTGACTGCATGGTTAATAATCACCTCTTTCCGGTTTCTGCTCACTATCAGCTTCTGTCTGGGGGTTGTCCTGATTACCTTATTTAAAATTGCACAACCCCTCTCCTACAATGTTCTTTGGATCTCCCTTATTCTTCTCTACTCTCTTTTTTGTGTGTGTAGCATTTATTTCTAACATAGAATATATTTTACTTATTTTTATCATGTTTCTCATCTTTCTCCACTAGTGTGTGAGCACCACAAGGGTGGGTTTTTTGTCTGTTTTGCTAGTTAATATATATCAAATACCTTCAGTCATGTCTGGCATGTAGTAGTCACTCAGCAAATATTTGTAAATGAATAATGAAGGTTAAAGGACTAGAATTCTTGATGATGTCCAAGAAGTAGTTGAGTAAAAAGTAAGGAAGTAGAAGTTAGGGACAGGAGTTTGTGGTCTGATGTAGACTCTGGGAATATAGTTGTAAACAAAACAGTAAAAAACCCTCTTATGGATCTTATCTTCCAGCTGTGGAAGTGTATAATAAACCATGCTAAATAAATTATGTGTATATTATGTTTCATAGCTATATATGCTAAGGAGATGAGAGGGCCACATTTTGGATAGGTTAGTAAGGAAGGTCTTGCTGAGAAGGTGCCATTTGAGTGAAGATCTGAGGAAAGGAAGAGAAGGAACCATGAGGTTACAAGGGTAAGTATATTTCAGGCAGAGGAGTAATGCAGATAATTGGCTTCCAAGTTGGTGGGATTTGGGAAGAAATATCCTTTAAGGAGAAAGGTATTGTAGGTAAGCAAGGAGGGGACATTAAAAGAGCATTCTTTACAAGTTACCTTCTAAAACAGCATCATTTTTTTTCTCACAGTAAAAGAAAAAACAATGATCCCTTGTTTATTTTACTATTGCTTTTGCAAATTATATCTTTATGTTTAGGAAGTCACTCAAGAACTGATATTGATAAACTGTATTCCTTAAAAACTTTTAATAGTGACTAAAATTGCTTTGATATAAATGGTATATTTTTGATATATACTTTGATATAATGCTATAAATATCACTACCTTTTGTGGACAGCAAAGGGAATCACATTGCCAATTATCTAAATCTGAAGGTAGCTTATTTTGAGATAAAGCCCTTTCATATACTATGTTATACAAAAAGAGCAGTTTGTTTTTTTTAAGAAAGATTTGTTTTCTTTCAGAGTTTCTATTAAAATTTGTATAGCTATACTGATGTAAGTAAATTTGATAAATAAGTACATTTACGAAATTTAGAAGAAATAATGAACCGTATGAAAATCTTCAGAGAATCAGTAGCAGAAAAGTGTGTGTTGCCATTTAACTTGGTTTGCTTTGCTACAGAAAGTCTTGCTATTACTCTGTCGTATGACAATTTAAAGTCCTGGGATCCTTATGTGTGCCTTGAATGTTTTCTGCATTCTGTGAATCTAACACAAATTTACCAACTACCAAGATTATCCTTTTCCCCTGTGTGTGATAACAGACAATTGATCTTTAGTGTCAGTGTGCAACTCTGTTTCTTACCAGCTATTTAGTTATTAAATACTTTGATGTCTGATCAAGCTACCTTTTTCTCTTCTTACTTTCAGGGTGTTTTTAAAGAATCAAATTCAGAATATGTAATTAAAAGGACTTCGAGGGCAATAATTAAGGATAATAGTGGAAAAATAGGGGATAATGAGATATGTTTAAAGGGGGCATAAAAAAAAAGAAACCGCTATGGAAAACAGTATGGAATTTTCTCAGAAAACTAAAAATGGATTTGCCTTTTGACCCAGCAATTCCACTGCTAGGATTATATCCTAAGAACCCTGAAACAGCAATCCAAAAGAACCTATGCACCCCAATGTTCATAGCAGCACAATTTACAATAGCCAAGTGCTGGAAGCAACCTAGGTGCCCATCAGTAAATGAATGGATCAAAAAACTATGGTACATTTACACAATGGAATTCTATGTAGCATAAAGAAAGAAGGAGCTCCTACCCTTTGCAACAACATGGATGGAACTGAAAAGCATTATGCTGAGTGAAATAGGCCAGGTGGTGAAAGACAAATACCATATGATCTCACCTTTAACAGGAAGCTAAACAACAAAACAAACAAGCAAGCAAAATATAACCAAAGACACTGAAATAGAGAACAGGCTGACAGGGACCAGAGTTGGGGGGGCGGCTTTCTGGGGAAAGGGGGAAGGGTTTACAGGAACTAGTAGTATAAAGGACACATGGACAAGAACTAAGTGGGGTGGAAATGGGAAGGAGGTGGGGAGCACTGGGGGGCTGGGCTAGGATGGGAGTAAAAGACAGAAAACTGTACTTGAACAACAATTAAATAAATAAATATTTTTTAAAAAAAGAAACCAATCCACCAGATATATTTTGTAAATTATAACTTGGTGAAGGAATTAATTGAGAGTTTGCTTACTGTTCTTCAGGTGATTCCTTGGTTCATTCAGGTTGTTTTTGTTTTAAACTGATTGCTGTTGGATACTGTGCTGGAAATAACGTGAATAAGAGGTAGTACCTGCTTTTGAGAATCTGTTCATCTCATAGAGAAATTAAAACATTCCAACAGTAGTTTCACAATTGAAGGCAAGAGTGTGTCCATTTGAGGTGGGCCTAGGAGTGAGTAGGAGTTGCTTAGGGGAGCTTTAGGAGGCCAAGAGAGCTGGGATTTGGAAATGGATGAGTTGGAGTTGGCTAGCCAGATGGGGTAGGACGTTTCGTGGAGTTGGTTGCCTAGGTTTAAAAATTTAGCTCTGATGTTATGGTATATTCTTAGGCAATATTGCATAAGATTTATCATCTGTAAAATAAGGGTTATAATTTCACTGACTTCATAGGGTGATGTGAGAATTAAATTAATATATGGAAAACAGTGCTTGGCATATACTAATTGAAGATTAGCTTTTAATGTTATTGTAGACATTTAGTGGGTAGAATTGGCTGGTTGTGGTCTTTGAATGTATGTATTAAGGGAAAAAGATGTCTCTAGTGTTACCAGCCTTGGATATACATTAGAATCACCTGGGGAATTAAAGGGTGCTAATGTCCAGGCCGCACCCCAGGCCAGTTTAATACTTTCTCTGGCGGCATGGCCCTCAGGTGATTCTAATGTTCAGTTGGGCTGAGAACCACTGGTCTAGGACTATTTCCAGGCTTCTGGCTTGGGTGATTGGGTTGCTGATAGTGCCATTTACTAGGATAAAATGCAAATTGAAGGAAAAGATGTTGTTTTCAATATAGCACTTGGGCTTTCTAAGAATCCTGTTAGCATTTGCATGCTTTAACTTTTGAATCTAAGGAATACTTTTTAAAGTATTCTGTATTGGATATCATAAATGGCCTCAGACTATATGAGTATATATGACTTTTGTGTCTTGTGTCTGCATGTTATATTCTGAGTTTCTTTTTGGATATTATTTACTACTGTTCCTTCCCTTTGGACTTACTTACCACCTTTCAACATACCCTATAATTTACATATTTATTGGTTTGTTTGGCTCCCTCTTTTAAAATTTCTTGTTGAGAGCTTCTCTTGCTTTCCCCAACTCAACCCCCAACCTTATTACCACCACCAGTAGAATGTAAGCTTCACTGGAGCAGGGATCTTTGATGTTTTTGTTCACCAGTGGATCCGGAATTCTTAGTACATAGTATATTATACATATTTTTTGAATGAATGAATGAATGGATGGGTGGATGGATAGATGGATGGATTACTGTCAAGCTGGTTTTTGTTTCTGGTTCTTGGCTCTGCTCCAGAGTAAGTGAGATGTTATAGAGCAGAGTTGCAGAGAGATATGTAAGAACTATTTTCTTCTTGTATGTAATTGATATACATGAAGCTCAGTTTTTGGTTGCTAAATGCTGTAAGAGTACAATTGAAGAAATGCTTAATACATCTAAATAATAAAAACTTTAAATGTTTTGATAGGAACCACCAAAGCCACCTCTAAATAATTTTGAAGTGGGGATGAAACTGGAAGCTATAGACAAAAAGAACCCTTTTATGATATGTCCTGCAACTATTGGAGGTGTTAGCGGAGATGAAGTTTACATCACATTCGATGGCTGGAGTGGAGCTTTTGATTATTGGTGCAAATACTATTGCCGAGATATTTTCCCAGTTGGGTGGTGTCATCTGACAGGACATGTATTACAACCACCAGGAATTCATGGTAAGACAATAAATAACTACATGTTCTTTTATTGAGCTAGATCTAACTGCTATTGGCATTGAAGTTAGCCCTTCATGCCCACTGGAGCCATAGGCAAGAGCACTATCCAGGCCAGAGAACTGGAGATACAAGAAGGCTATGATTAGAAATCTTGAGGGCCGACCCAGCACCATAGTCTGAATGGACAGTCCATGCTGGAGAATATGGGCAAAGCTGGATGCTATACTTAAACTATTGAAGCCTTGGCTGCTATAAGCACTTTGGGATACTCAGCTTCCTTTATAGTTGATGTTAAACTTAAAAATGCACAATTATTCCATTGTTTATATATAGACAATAGAATTTAAAAGGTTGGACATTACAACTCTTACATACATGTTTTACATGATTTTGATCATTTGCAAATTAAATGGATATTTTGATAGTCTTAATTAAAATCTACACATCAGTGGACAATTTCAGCTCTATGGAAGCCATTGTAGATTATTACAAGGGGGGGAAACCAAAAAGAAAAATGAATTATCTTCTGGAGGGCAGGCCCCTTGTAGTACAGGTTTCCTATGCTAGGTGAGTATTTTAGGAACCCATCTGTATCAGTGTACCAGCTGGCGTTGTTGTGAGAAGCTATGTTCAGCATCAGTGAAATTTTTTTTGAAGACTCTTTCATTGCATTTGCCCATTTCATGTTGGGTGATTTACGAGCATACCTGCCCACACTACACTGAGCGTTCAGCAGTTTTTGACCAAAAATGGTTTTTGACCAAAAATGGTTTTTGACCAAAAATGGCATGACCCCCATTCCTCACCCTCTCTATTCACCCAATATCACCCCAAGCAACCTTTTTTTTTTGTTTCCTTGGATGAAAAACGTCCTCAAAGATATCCAGTCTGTTTAGGTTTGAAAGAAAGGTGGTTGGGTAAAGGAAAGCTTTACAAAAAGACACATGATGTGAGTGTTATGAGAGGAGAAGGAGTTGTCAGGAAGAATGGAAATAAAGGTGGAGTGGACATATCACAAAGGTTAAAATTACAGTTTATCCTGAAAATTGATGCATTCAGTTTGGGACAGAGTGCCTTTGGAATGTGTGGTCAAGAATGCTGTTGTTTTTCAGTATCTGGTCCCCCATTTTTTTCTTAGTAATACAATTTGGCTGCCTAACATAAAGAATAGCTAGAGAGGCTGAAAATCACTTTCAGCCTCTCTAGCAGTTATATGTGGTCATGAGACTAACTTCTGGTCAATGGAATAAAAGTATAGGTAGTATATTCTATTTCCAGGAGATGTATTACAGAGAGAAATGAATTTACCCTTCTCTTTTCCTTCCTCCTGCTTCTATCCTCCTGCTATGAATGTGGATGTTTTGGGTAGAGCTCCATCTTGGACCATGAAACAAGGACCATATTCTAAGCATAGTGGAGTAGAAAGTAGAAAGGAGCTAGAGTCTCTGAGAACTTTGTGGATATGTTACAGAAAACAACTCAGCTGCTTTTGGGTGTATGGAGTGGAACTTTATTCACGCATGCGGACGTAGAGGAGGCAGTCTCCAAAAAGTGTGGCATGCGGAAGCGATTTTACTAAGCCTGCGTGGCAGAAGCAGGTTTACAGAAGCAAGAAAGCAGGGCTGCTGAGAAAGCAGGGCTGCTGATAGGGTCATACAATGTTCTTTTGTTCTTACTTCTTAGTTACTTAGTTGCTCACCCCTCCTTATCTTAGTGGCTCAGCAAAGGGACCGTGTCCTTCTGACTTGTCTGGTCTTATCTAAGCAGGTCTCCTGCTACAGATAAATACTTTCATACTAGCCTGTTCTAGACTATTATTTGAGAGAGAGAAACTTCTGTGTACTATAAACCACTATTCTTTTAGTTTTTTCTATTATTGATAGCTAAACTTAATCCTAACTGATTCGGGATAACTTTAGGACATTCATGTGGGCATGTCCATTGGATAGCTGCACATGCAGGGATGGAGCCTAAAAGAGATAGGTCTTGGTTGACAAAGCAAGTTTGAGAATCATCATGTTCACTCAAGTATTCTTTGTGTCAGATGGGATTATAGGTGCTGGTGGGGGGTGGGAGGAGTGGGCAGCTTATACATCCTATTGAGAGCAGTAAGTAGTGGAAGTTGTAGGTGTTGTTTTAATTATGCATGTGTAACAGGTGGAGATGGAAGAGGACCAACTACTGGACTTCATGGGTTAATATTTAAAACAATAATTCTTACACTTGAATTACCTGGGAGAGCTTGTTACAAGGCAGATGCCCTGAAACTCACATCCATGGGTTCTGATTCAGTAGGTATGGAGTGGAGTGCATATGTTTTCATTGCACATGGTTTGAGGCCTAGTCTTTGAGAAACACAAAAATGATGGATGCGTAGAAGGTAGAAGTCAATGTAAGACACTGAGAAAAAGTATCAAAAAAAAATCAACCCTTTGTCATAAAAGTAAAAAAACCTTTTCTCTGTCAATCGCTTTTTAATGTTATATATAGTGTTTCAAAAAGTACAGAAATATTGAATTTATTGACTTGAATATTAAATAATGTAAGAAACTTACAGAGTTAGTTGATTTTAAAAGGTATAAAAAATTAATTGAATTTCAAAAAATTTTTAAATCTATTACTTTTGTTAATTTTGAATATTTCTTTTTTAAAAAAGATTTTATTTATTTTTAGAGAGAGGGACGGGAAGGTGAAAGAGAGGGAGAGAAACATCAATGTGTGGTTGCTTCTCATGCACCCCACACTGGGGACCTGGCCCACAATCCAGGCATGTGCCCTGGCTGGGGATGGAATCCGTGACTCTTTGGTTTGTGGGCCCACACTCAATCCACTGAGCTACACCAGCCAGGGCTAATTTTGAGTATTTCTTAAACACACTGGAAGTATTTGTTTTTCAACATTAGTTTTAGGATATCTCACTTAAAACTTTTTCAAATAACTAATGACTAAAGGCAATTAATTCACTTACATAGTTTCTTAAAGAAATGTAGTGAGGCATTCAGGAATGCTACTTGATTTGACTTTACATTAAAAAAGCACTTATTTAAGTTTAATGTTTTTCTGTTTAGTAATACAGTCTAATTTAGTTTAAAACTGTTTTGAAATGAAATTTTTCTCCCTGGGTTAACACTTCCATAATCAGAAATAGCCAAGTTCTTATCATTGATAGAAAAATCCACTGAGAAACATGTTTTAGATAGAATATTCAGCAAGCTGTATGTTGCCCCTGCCCCATTTATTTAGGTTCTCATTCCTTGGTTCTTGGTACAACCCTGCAATGTTTCAAAGCCCTTTGCTTCTGGTTGGTGCTGTCACAGCTCATCAGATTTGTTCTGGAGACCTGTACAGGGTGTCTGGTAAGAAAGAGGAAGGAAGTATGTGTGCTGCTGTATCCCTGGTAGTTTAAAGAAGCCTAGATCAAGCAAACTACAGCAAGGCCATTGTAGATTTTCTTTGTGAAGAATTTATTTGATTTTGCTGTTTTCTGTTTCAACTTGTCCCCCTGCTTTGTATCTTATATCTTAGTTCTTTCTAAAAAAAATGATATTTAGGAATGTTCTGTAAGCTGTTGGTTTCTTCTTGTTATTGCCCTTTCTTTTTGTCTCTAGCATATACAGTTATAGGAATTTACAGCCAGTCATCTCATTAATGTACAAATATTACTACATTAAAGTGTAAAGATTTAATACATGAAGGAGCAAGACTTAGAATCAGCAACTTCAAATCAGAACTGGGACTATCATTATTTTAAAGGCTCTGTGTGATTTTTTAAAAATCTTTTTTTCTGTCTTTATTGGGAAAGTTTATAAAACAAATAGGTTACTGTATTGTTTCTATAATTGTACTTCTTTTTTTAATTTTAAAAGTTTTCTTTCTATAATTTTATTTTTGAACACAATAAATGTAGGTTTTTCATCTTTTAAGAAATTGGAGAAATTCAGAAGCAGAGGATTATTTTTTTAATTTGGCTTTTTTTTCAAGTTTTCTTTTTAAAAATTTGTTCCTGTATTAATTTTCTAATATTGTGGGATATTAAAATAAAATAATAAACTGCTACATTTTAAACCATTCTGCTTGGCTTTAAAGGTACTTAAATACTTTTAAAGTTAAGTATATAAATTAAACTGTAAATTTATTGGTTTCATTTAACTCAGCTTCAGATTTATGCATCATTGTTTGTAAATTAATGACCCACACAGGTGTGAAGTGTCTGTCATCTGGTGGCTTAATTCTTTAAACAGTTTTGACCATATAGACCAAGAAGGGGGACAACAAACTTCCAGATGCTTTGAGTATAAAGTTGCAGAATCCCAATGGTATAGAGGAATTCTTCTGGTCCAAAGGGAAATGTGGAGGAGGGGAAAACTTAAATCAGTGTAGCCAAGCATCCCTGCTTTGTGGCACCGTAGGTCATCAGTGACCATCTTAACTCCTTTCTTGATTAAATTATTCATTTTATTGAGTCCCTCACCACCCCCCTACTTTTTGCAGAAACAGCCTTAATTTACAAGTGGAACTCAGTGCAAATATGGTGTTTCCTTCACAACTTTGTAAAATATTTCTGATAATACATATTTGGTAGAACTACCATATTAGATTCATTTTGTTGGTAATTCAGACATAAATTATATGAATAGTGACTTCTTTTGAGGGTTAAATAGTAGAAAAGTTAAGTAGATTTTTGAAAAAATTTGTTACACATTATTTTTTTAATTGTACTTTTCACTACCATTTATTCCCCCTATACCTGCTTCCACACCCCCTCCACAACAGTCCCCCCCACAGACACTGTTGTTCGTGTCCATGAGTTCTTTCTTTTTTTATTTTTTTGCTCCATCCCTCCAAGCTGTCAGCCTGCTCTTTATGAGTCTGTCTCAATTTTGCTTGTCAGGTTAATTTGTTCATTAGATTCCACATATGAGAGAAATCATAGATTTTAAATGTAAGTTATCTTGGGCACTGTTAGGTTCTTTGAATGCTGGTTTCTTTTATGTTATATG